AAATACTATGATTTTCACTGATTACACACACGTTGCTTAAAATAAACCTGAGGTACAAGCTGCATTACTAGCAGTTCTCCACCCCGTCTCACAACCACTGGGGTAAATCCTCACTAAAGTTTAAAAAACATGAAACCACACACACACACACACACTCCATTTGCACAGCAGAAGTCTGTGAATTAAGCAGAGAAGCACCTGTTGCAGCTGTATTTTGCTGGAAGATGTGACTATGATTGTACCATGCAGCCTCCTATCAAACTTCAGGCGCACTTATGCACGATATATCAGCGACCACATCAGTATTGGCCAATATTAGTGTTTTTTCCGATGTATAGGTATCGATCCGATGAACAAATCTTGCCAATGTGAAAAAAAAAAAATGATTGTCTAACATTAGCGCCTTCGTCTCTACATTTGATATTGCTGCTATTTCACAGATGTTTTTATTTAAATGGTTCTGGATTTGAACGTTAAATATGTTTAAATATGTTTTACTTTTGTTATGTAATACAGAAGACTATGTGGTCTAATTTGGTACGGGCTTCTTTTGAATAATTTTCACATTCTTACAGTGCTTACTTAAACAGTCGTGACTTGATAGTCCGACACTAAATGTAAAACCTTCTTTTATGTCGGATAGCAAGACTGTCAGATTGTCAAGACGGAGGTCGAGATACAAGGAGGGCTTGATGCTTGAAGGGTCATTTGTTGTTAATTATTATTCATAGTTGTACTAGTAGGGCTGGTCCCAATAGCACTTTTTGGTCTCTGGATATTCAGGCGCAATTAATGATGAATATCTGAATATTCGGCGCGGTCGGGGAAGGGCCACTTCCACCCCGGGGGTACGCTCTGACGGGGTGGAAGTAGCCGGAACACACAGGCAGTACTTGGCTGCTGATGCCAGTTTAGGACAGTGGTCAGGCTTCTGTTTCCACCATCTGTGTTTACTTTCGTAAACACTGAGCATGCTCACTGCGTGTGACATCGTCGTGTCCTCTTCTGCGCATGCGGGACACTTTTGGGTCATATGAAGTTCACCTTGCAGTAGTATAGTTTAGTATAGTATAGTATAGTCTAGTATAGTATAGCATAAACATCTGACTGCTGCCTCTGAAAAGTTTCGCTCTAACATGTGTTGTGCATTCAAAGTTAAGGCGGTTTGTTGGTTATTTGTGAGTCTAAACATATTTCAGCCACAACAGTCTCAGAGACAATATAAAGAGGCAAAGTGGGAATAAAAGTAATATAGTGCTACAAAATTTAAAATGAAATATATATAAAGAGAAAAAAAACCAACAACAACAAACAACCCTTTTCAGACAAGTGTAAACATAATGATGTTATCTCTGAAAATTACATCTTGAGACTCAGATCTTCATAACAGCACTGACAGAGTGACAGACGGGAAAACGTGGAAAAGACAGAATATTACAAAAGAGAGACAGAACAGAAAAACACACAGGGGGAGAAATAAAGAGACGGACAAAGAGACAGAGATAGAGGGATTGTAAAAGAAGAAAACAAACACTGAGTTGCTTTGTTGTTTTTTTATCCTCCTATAATATTTTTCTAATGAGCAAATTTTGTTATTCCCCTCTGAGCTCCCTGTTTGTCCTTGTGCATCAGTCACTGGTTAGATTAGATTCATCCAACTAGGTCACGCCATCACCGCTGATTCACCGCACTGGGACAAGGAGATTGATTGATTTTTATATCATAATCCCGGCCTGGGATTTGAGTACGGGGCTTCTGCCCTCCAGTAACTGTCGTCAGCGACCAAATCCTCTTCCCCTGCCTCTCATAAAAAAAGAACATGGGGGCAATGCTTTGGAGCTTGTCATGTTATTTAAAGT